CAAAACGACCCAAAAAAAAAAAAAAAATGGGTGAGGTCAATTGTGGTATATACCTTTAATCCCAGAACTCAGGAGACAGAGGCAGGTGGACCTCTTATGAATTCAAGGCTAGCAAGTTCCAGGCCAGCCAGGGCTACATAAAGAGACCCTGTTTCAAGAAACAAAACAAGTGAGAGGGGCAGTGGCTCACTGGTTGAGTGCTTGCCTAGCATGCCTATCTAAGGCTCTGGGTCAATCCCTGGCCCACATGTACACACATACAATTAAGACCAGTATGGATAAGGTACCCCACATGACAGGCATCCAACCCATAGCATGTTTTCACTATCTACTGATTATATTGTTCCTCAAGTCTTCAGGGAAAAAAAGGTAAGTTTGGGTAATCCATAAATAGAGATCCTAAAGAATTCAGAATTGATACCTATAATTTAGCTGTGCCAAGAAAAGATTAGTAGTTGCAATAAGCTTGTCTACTGATGAATAACTGTTTCATTCTGTTAGTAATTCCCTAGACCTAAAAACAGCAACTGCTCACTTTAACCCCACATCCTGCTTTCAAAGAAAGCAATGCTCTAAAGGACATGTAGAAGCATAGATTCGGAAGCAGACTGCATTCAAATCTCATCTACTTCCAGCTGAGCTGTGGTTCAATTCTGTACCCTTAGACTGAAGTGCCCTCTTCATAGGACTTAGGGCATCTGTACAAAGCTCTCGGATGTGTCTTCCAGGAACCTCTGCTTGTCAGCTATCAGTCTGGACAGGAGGCACACAAATAACCTCTGTAGATTCTTGCTGGGTAGCTGTAACCACAAAGATTTAGACAGAATCTGTTCCCTTCTTCTTTGCTCTTCTATAAGGCCCTTGCAGGATGTGATAACTTGATTTTCCTACTTACAGCCCAAGTCTTTGGGGTTTTATTGTTGCTTTAAGACAGTAAGATAATAAATTTAGGGCCCACGTGCCTTTCTATCCTCACATCACTCACAAACTGTCCCCAGCTAAGGGGTCTCCTTGGAACGGTTGATTTCAGAGATTCTTGTGTAAGATTCAGAGTAATAGGCCAGTAGGTCTATTACTAAATTTAATGGTGAAAACAATAAAGCACAGTTCAAAATCGTCCAGAGTTGCTTTCAGATGGGTTCCTGCTGGAAAAACTCTGAGGCAAGTTCAAAAAGGAGGAAAATTGGCATGACCTCTGTACTGTTAAAATTCCTCCTTTTATTCATTGTACAAAGCCATTCTGTAAACGGACCAGGTACCTACAACTTCTTTAGGTTTATACAGAATCACTAGAATCGAATCTCCACGATGGCAGGGATCTTTTCTTTTCTTTTGGGTTTGGTTTTATTTCTTGAGACATGGTTTCCCTCTGCAGCCCAGGTTGACCTTGAACTTATGAGAATCTTCCTGCCCCAGCCTCCCAAGTGCTGGGATTATGGCCATGAGCCACCTGGATCATCTGAGATCTTTGTTGCTTGTTAAAGAATTAGCACTCAATGGATACTTGCTGAATAAAGGAGTGAAATGAAGTCTGAGTCTGGGGTCTCTTACTGAAGACAGGAAGAATGGTGTCCCCTTGTGTAGCAATTGCCTGTCAAAGCCTGAAGATTAGCAGTGCTGCTATGCTTCAGGATGGCTCACACTTTCCCCAAAATATATTTATTTTTAAAAACAAAATCAGATAGGCTTTCCCAAGTCAAGTTTTCTAGAGACGAGCCAGAATTTGGATTCCAGCTTAGGGTCAAGGTTGGACATGAGTAATTTCATATAGAAGTTATTTCTTCCTGCAGGAGACAGAGCACATTCTGCTCGGCTGCACACACTTAATTCCCTCAAAATGCTCTGCATTTCTGCCATCATTTTATTCCATTCCAGGGGTCTGGCATGCAAGAGAATCCATCTCTAAAACTCAAAACTTCCAAACTGAGAGGAACGGTTGTTGGGCTTGGGTTGGGGTTTATAACCAATTCGATCATTTATCATTTGTTCCCGGCTCTTGGGGTCACTGCTGAGCCCAGTGGATCCTTCTCCATCACTGCTTCCCACAACGTCCACATCTTCCTTCTGTTTCTTACGGGTCTGAAAGTACAAAAATTTTAGGATTTAGGGCAACATTCTTTCAATTAGCAAGTGTTTGTCTAGTGTTATTGGGACAGGGTAAGGGACAGGGTTGGGGATTGAGAAGCAATAAACAGATAACCCAAGTTTAGGATAGTGACAAGTACCAGAGGGACCCAGGCATATAGTGTTTGGGTTGTTTGGATGTTTTGTTTTATGAGACAGGGTCTCACTATGGAGCCCTGGCTGGCCTGGAATTCATTATGTAGACCAGGCATCCTGCCTCTACCTTCCAAATGCTGGGATTAAAGGCAAGTGCCACCGTACCCAGCTCAATGTTAAAAGATACAACCCTACATTCCATGGTGTCCTGCTCTAAACGGGAAATGGGCATGTAGATCATTAATCATAGCAGAGTGATCACAGTTAAGATGGGGAAGCCCATACTACCAGAGAGGCACAAAGAAGGGGTGAGGAGTTTGGGGTGTGGTGCAGAGGCAGCAGGAAGCTGCAACTGCGGACAGAAGATGGGGGGCAACAAAGGATGTTTCAAAAGCAAAGTATTATTTCAGTAAATGGAAAGTCACGTGACCAGTAAAACAATAGTCACCAAAAAGCTATAGTCCAACTGGCTCTATGAGACTATGGGTAACACTAGAATCATTTATACTATCTTATCAAAAAGTCTGAGTTGAGCCAGGCATGGTGCCACACACCTTTAATCCCAGCACTTAGGAGGCAGAGGAAGCTGGTCTCAAAAAGACCAAAAAAAAAAAAAAAAAAAAAAAAAAAAAAAAAAAAAAAAAAAAAAAAAAGTTTGGGTTGGGGGTGCTTTATTCTGTTAGTTTTAAAATTATTTGTTTACTGGATTGAACCCAGGGCCTTGTGAATCTCAGGCAAGCAATCTACCACAGACCTATATCCCCAGCCCCTTGATTTTTTTTTTTTTTTAAAGTTAATTTTGGGCTGAAGAAATGGCTCAGTGCTTAAGAGCATTGGCTGCTCTTGCAGAAGACCTGGGTTTGAATCCCAGCACCCACATGGCAACTAACAACCATCTGTAGCTCCAGTCCAAGGGATCCAACACCCTCTTCTGACTTCTGGAGGCACTGCATGACATGGGTGTATTTATATAGATATAGGCAATACATTCATACCCATAAAAATAAATTTAAAAAGTTTTCTTCTTGCTGGGCGTGGTGGTGCACGCCTTTAATCCCAGCACTGGGAAGGCAGAGGCAGGTGGATCTCTGTGAGTTCAAGGCCAGCCTGGTCTACATAGTGAGTTCCAGGACAGCTGGGGCTACAGGGAGACCCTGTCTCAAGAAGACAAAAAAAAAAAAATTTTTTTTTCTTCTTTTACTCTTGTCACCACTACTACAATTCACAGGGCAATACCGAATGCAATGACAAGAAAAGACTACAGCAGATGTAAGGCCTTGGTGTGTATCCAACTGCCAATATGCACCAAATCAGCAAGTCACTGTGCTTGCAAACTGCCCATGGCCCTTCTGAACAAGAAGGGCTTCCAGTGTAAGATGCAGGAACCTTCCTGTTAGGGGTCATTATTCCTTCTGTGGCTGATTTTCTAGAATACATTTGGGTCTGCTGTGTCAAAGTAACCTACAGCCGTTTTCTGACATATCACTCTCCTAGCAGCCCTTTTCTGCTGTGTTTAGAACTCTGCTACCGGAGGATTACAAGTTCAAGGCCAACCTATGCTACATAGTGAGACCTTATCTCAAGAACAAGCAAAATAATTCTGCTACCAGTTCCACTATCAAAAGGATTGCCTGCGTTTCTTTCACCACAACTGCCCAGCTCATGAGCCCATGGTCTGACCATAGCTGTCCACTATGATTTCCACAGTGACTGTGTTCTTACCACCAAATTTTCCTTCAGTGTAATCACCATATTCTCAACCACATCTGCCTTAGTTTCTATATCCTGGTCCTGTTTAAAAATCCACACAGCCATCATGGGCCTCCTCCATAACTATCTCTCCTCCACCACTTCCACCACTATACCTCCCACCAAAGCTGCCACCATGGCCAAAATTATTTCCACTACTTCCAAAGTTTCCTCCAGGGCCTGTGAAGTTGCCAGGTCCACCTCCATGGCCTCTTTGTGGAGTGTACCTTGTTTAGAAAGGGCCTTTTCCATTTTATAATGATGCCAATTCACAGTGAAGTATTTCTGAATCAACTGTGTCATAATCAGTAGAAGTTACAAAAGCAAATCCTGTTTCTTCCATTGTCTTCCAGAACTTCTGTTTTCAATCTTGCCACACATGTCAAAATAGTCTCTTAAATGATATTCCTCTGAATCTTCAATATCACCACAAATCTTCACTGCTGATGTGCATGAAGCTTCTAGAATCCTCTCCATGCCCATCAACCTTGTGTGGTTGGGCACTAGTTGACATAAAAGTCCCAAGATGAAAACCCATGAACATTTTTTTGGGAGACTCTCCTTACCAGATAATCTGTGAGCATGTCCCACTTCTCCAAAAGTTCTCTTAAACTATCCTCTGCACTTTCAAAACTCAGGTCAATAAAGTTTCACCAATCAAGTTTTCTGTTCCTTTGATTGATGGCCCTTCACCCTTTTGTGGTGGCAGCATTGGCTACAGCACTGGCTGAAGGTGACCAGGCAGTGGTTTTACTAACATTTTGACTAGATATGGCTCTTCCAATTTGAGCTGAATATGGGAGGCAGAGAAAGAAACAAGCTCCATTTTGTTTTCATATAAAAGGTTTGGCTCTGAGTCACAAGTGACTATAGAATTCCAACAGCTATAGCCTGACAATATCAGTGATAAGACAAAAATCTCTAAAGGTGTGAGTAGATGCTTTATCTGGAGTCCCTTACTAGGAGAGCAACTCAGCTGCTCTAATCACCACTGTTCTATATCACCTGCTGATGGCTGTAAGCATGTAAGTCCTGACATCACTGTATGACAGTCGATAGGTAGAGGCTGAGGATCTCTTCTGAAATGCTTGGGACCAGAAGTGTTTCCAGTTGAGAGTTTTCACATTTTGGAATATATGTGTTGACTACAAGGGAGCATCCCTAATCCAAAACTCCAAAATCTGAAATTTTCTGCAGTTACCTTTTTTTTTTTTTTTTTTTTTTTTTTCCAGACAGGGTCTCAATGTAATCCTAGCTAGCCTGAAACTTGCTATGTAGACCAAGCCAGCCTAGAACTCACGGAGATCTGCCTGCTGCTGCCTCCTGAGTGCTGGGATTACAGGTGCGCACTACCATACCAGTATTGTGTGAGAGAGATAGCTCAGCAAGTAAAAGCACTTGCCATGGAAACCTATCATCTGAGTTCAATCCCTAGAACCCATGTTAAAAAGAACAAAAAGGCCAGATGCAGAAGTGCACATCTGTTATCCCAGACTCCCATAGTGAGATGGAAGGCAGAGACGGGAATGGCTGGAAGTTCGCAGGCCAGACAGCCTGGAGTATGCAGCACAGCAGCAGAAACAAGAGATCCTGCTTCAACAAGGTGGAAGGAGAGCACTGACTCCATAAAGTTGTCCTCTGACCTCTTGCCTCAGGTCTAAGGAGAGAACCAACTCCAGAAAGCCATCCTCCAACCGCTACACTGTTAGATATAATAAAAGGGAGCAGCAGCACTGGGTCCAGAAAGGAAACTGGTGGTTCAAATGAGAAAAGCCCCCCACCATGGGCTCATGGATTTGAATACCTGGTCCCCAGTTGGTGACACTGTTTGGGGAAGTTATGGAGTCTTTAGGAGGTGTGGCTTTGCTGGAGGAAGTATGTCACTGGAGGACAGGCTTTTAAGGGTTTCAGAGTCTCAACCCACTTCCTGTTCTCTCTCTCCACTTCCTATGTGTGGATGAAAATGTGATGGGGGCTGGAGAGACAGTGCAACAGTTAAGAGCACTTGCCGTTCTTGGAGAAGACCCGGTTCGAATCCCAGCACCCACATGGCAGCTAACAACTGTCCCTAACTCAAGTTCCAGGGGATCCAACACCCTCTTCTGTCTTCCATGGGCATTCACAACATATATTCACCTACATACATGCAGGCAATACACATAAAGTTAAAAGAAAAGGAAAATGTTATCAGTCAGCTTCCTGCTCCTCCACCATGTCTTCCCACCATGATGGATTCTATCCCTCTAGAACCATAAACCAAAATAAACCTTTTCTCCTCTAAATTACTTTTAGTCATGATATTTTAGCACAGGAACAGAAAAGTAACCAATATAGAAGCTAACAAATAATTCCTTTCAGAAGATATCGTTTATTAGGAGAAAGGGCCTCAAGGTCATGATCAGGCCTCCAAGCAGGAGGAAGAGCAGTAAACAGAAACCACACAAATCTGGAGATCTAAACATGATGGGACCTTAGAGAGAAGGAGAGGCTTCCTTTCAAACTGGAGAGGATCTCCATTAAGAGTGAGAATACCTGGGCCTGGTGGTGCATGCCTTTAACACCAGCACTAGAGAGGTAGGCAGATCTCTGTGAGTTCAAGACTAGCCTGGTCTACATAGTGAGTTCCAAACTAGCAAGAGCTACATAGTAAGATCCTGACTCCAAAAAAATAAAAATAAAAAAAGGGTGAGAATGAAGGTGGGGAGCAGGAGACAGCTGTCATGAAAGGAATGGAGAGAGCCAGAGGAGCCTGTTCAGAGAGCAGCCTTCAGAGCACGTCCCTGAGCAAATCCCTGAGGAGTCTCTGTACCAAAGAAAAATTCTGGCTTCCATAAGTTTGGGGGGAGCTGGCAAGAAGTTTCATATAACATGATTTAGCTCAACATAGCATACATGACAAAGAATATAGAGAAGCTAGGTACTATAAATTGAGAGCTGTCAAGTCACAGCACTGGGAAAGCTTCTTAACTCTCTCCCAGAGAGAGTAGCAGGGTCGTGGCCTGATCAGGCTGTGAGAGCTAGCCTTTTCAAAGTGACGACAGTCTCTTAGGGGCAATCCTGTGTTCTAACACACATGAACTGCAGAACATGCATGCCAACACTTCACATAC